CTTTTTGTTTTTTATTGTTTCTTTATGTTTCAGTTGGTTGATTCATATTCATAAATCCAAATTTATCATTTCAGCGGATTGAATATAAATTTACATATGATTTGTTTCCTTTAACGAAGTAGCAAATTAAAGATAAAGTGATAAACGTATATCTAAATAAGTAAATGAAAAAATTGAAATCACCTATAAACAAGAACAAGCAACATACTGCAACAAAAGAAACATGATGCTACAAAAAGCAACACTTTCGGTGAAACAGAAAGCAACAACATTATACAAAGTGTTACCATATAATATAAACGGATTGCACCAACAGTCACCAGTTAGTATGAGAACTTAAACAAACTAGTATAAATATGTAGTTATTTATTTAAAATCCAAAAACAATATATCACACCGGGTTTATAAATCACAATAATATAGCATTTCAAACGATGCTATATGGTAAATGATAGAGGAAAATCAGAGAAAGCTAGATGTCTAGGTACATATGCTCACAACAAGCACTTTGTCGATCAATAGCGCCCATTGCTTGAGAAGTGTCTCCTCACTTTCTCTTATCTACAATGGAGCATCCCCTTTTTTCAATCAATGTATTTCATTGTGGTTCAATGCAGCACGTATAAAGGCACTAAAACATTTCTTTCGATCTAAAACTAAGATTTTGATTTGATAATAAGCATTGGAAGAGAGGAGCCTGACTACAACACATAATTTAATTTGTGTTTGTTCTTAGATTCTCATAGACCTGCACTAGTAGTAGCCAGTGGCGGATGGTATGATGTTCAAGGGTATGCACTTGAACACCCAAAAATTTAAAAAATAAAAATTATCAAAACGACGTCATTTTGAACCGTTTTACAAAAAAATGAAACGTCATCGTTTTGATGGAGATTCAACAGTTCAAACCCGCGTATTCCAAAATAGGTCTTCCCCAAACTGAAATCTTCCGAAGTTCAGCCCTTGCCCGCTCCTCAGTGAAATCTGAGCTCCAGATTCTCTCATTCTCTGCCGACCGTCGAGGCGGTGACCAGCAGACCAGATCGTCGAATTCGCCGCGATCCCAGTCATCCGACGACTCCACAAGCCCGGCCAGCTAATAGTGATTGTCATAAAGCATGTGTGATGAAATGTAGAAATCTTATGAATTCAAAGCAAAGTATTGCTACTTGTGTGAAGAAATCAACTGAAATTTTAGATTCTGAATATGAAATAAAAGTTAGAACATCACTTCAAGCTACTAAATTACTTCTGAGAGGTGGACATGCCTTTAGAGGACATAATGAGGGAGATGATTCATCTTACCAAGGCCATTTTCTTGAATATGTTAAAGAGTTGCGAGAGGCTAGTCATGTCACAGATTTTCGTGAAATCGTGGGATGACCTCCCCGGTGATTCAAAAAGACCTTGTTTTTGCTTGTTCATATTTAACTACTTCCAATATTGCTAGTGAAATTGGAAGTGATGTATTTGGTGTGTTAGTTGATGAGTCAGGTGATTGTTCGGGTAAAGAGCAAATGGCTCTTGTTGTGCATTATGTTGATATGTTGGTTGTGTTATCGAAAGATTTCTTGGAATTGCACATGTAAAAGAAACAAACGCTCCTTCCCTAAAAAATCCCTTTTAGACATATTGTCCCCTAATGGGTTGAGTTTATCCAAGATTCGAGGTCAAGGGTATGATGGAGCTAGTAATATGAGTGGACGGCTTAATGGCTTAAAAGCATTAATTCAAAAGGATAACCCCTCTGCTTTTTATGTGCATTGTTTTGCTCATCAGCTCCAATTGGCTCTAGTTGCTAGTGTGAAGTGTCACATTGACGTGAGTACTTTTTTAGGCCTAGTAAACAGTGTGGTGAATATAATTGGGTGTTCTAACAAAAGACAGGAGCTGCTCCGGGACAGGCAACATGCTCATTTACGTGAGATAATTGAGTTGGGTTTGGTAGAAACTGGCACAGGTTTGAATCAACAATCAGCTCTTGCAAGGGCGGGTGATACACGTTGAGGGTCACATTATAGGACTTTTACTAGCTTGATGACATTGTTTGGTCCTATGATTGGTGTCCTTGAAACAATGATTGATGATGTTTCTTGTGATGTTCGTGGTCCAGCTAGGACTCTGTTGGATGGCCTACTTTCTTTTGATTTTATTTTGATGCTATATTTGATGGTTGATGTGTCAGGGGTGACGAATGATTTGAATATGGCTTTGCAAAGACGTGATCAGGACCTCTTGAATGCATTGACTCTTGTGAAGATATGCAAAGCGAGACCCCAAAAGATGAGAGATGACGGATGGGAAGCTCTCTTGGGAAGAGTTGTTACGGTTTGTACAACTCATGATATTCATGTTCCTAATATGGATGGTCCCTATCACCTATAAAAAAGATCCCACCGTCAAACCTCTTTTGTTACGAATTTGCATCATTACAAGACCGATTGTCTTGTTAGCATTTTAGATTTGCAATTGAAGGAGCTTAATTGTAGATTTGATGTGGAAAATACTGAGTTGTTACATTGTGTTGCATGCTTAAGTCCCACCTCTAACTTTGTGGATTTTGATGTGGAGAAGTTGTTGAGAATGACAACATTCTATCCAGACGATTCCGATGATGAGACTGAATCTTCTTTTTGCAATCAATTTGCTAACTACATTGTGGATATGCATTTGGATCCTCGTTTTTCAGGATTAATAGGGCTTGCGGACCTTTCAAAGAAACTTGTAGCAACCAAAAAGCACAAGACTTATGGTGCCGTTTATAAGCTTGTGAAGTTTGCTTTGATCTTGCCGGTAGCAACTGCAAGTGTGGAACGTGTCTTTTCAGCAATGAAGCATGTCAAGAGTGAATTGAGGAACAAAATGGGGGACGAGTGGTTAAATGATCGTCTCGTGACATTCATTGAGAGAGATGTGTTTATGACTATTAGCAATGAAGAAATTTTAGATTATTTTTAAAAAAACATGACCACAAGGAAAAATCAGTTTATGTAGTAAATCTCTTATACTTTATTAATATATTATGGAGTATGTTTTACTTTTTTAATGTAGTAGTTTTTTGATTGATAAAGATACAATCGTTGAATTATAGCATTAGATATGATTGTTTTGATACTTTTAACTTTATTTTAGTTTCGAACACCCAAAATGTAAAGGCTAGATCCGCCACTGGTAGTAGCTACATCAACTTTATAAAAATAAACAAACACACCGTGACAATCCTTAGTTTGGATGATAAGTTATTTATCCTAAACTTGCAATATTATAAAATATATAACAAGATTAATTGACCATTTAAGAGAAGGACTCATACCAACAATTGCAGTCCCTTAACAATCTTATTGTCTGGTATCAGTCCACACCACCATATTTGTTTTTTGTCATTGTAAGTAATGTTGTAATGCACTTCCTACTTGGCAATGCGGAATAATGAAGGAGAGGTTGCTAGTTACCTCAATGACAAGGGATTGATTATTTCCAGTGTGTGATATACCTTTTTAAACACATTTTTTTAGTTGAGGATTCACACTACATATATGGTGTTCCTTAGCACTCGGTTCTTTCTACAATCCCTGGAAATTAAGTAAACATGTTTTGAGCTAGCATTCAACTTTATGTCTAAATTTCTTAAACAACCATATATATAGATTATAATCATGATAACCATTAGTGTGATATTTAAATATTATATCACTAGATGTCACTGATGTTTGAATATGTCTCCTACACAACAAAGCAATAATTTAATGAACCTTACATATATCATCCATCATGTATTTCTTTCATGTGTGTGCTTAAATTTCCAGGTGCAGCAAACTGTAAAACTGTTATTTACCAAAAGATGATTCATAAGATTTGTAACAAAGTAAACATTTCAAAATCGCAAAACTATTGGCCCGTTGATCGGGATTGACAACCTAATAATTAAAACAAAGCAAAATATTCTACTTATTAATATAGTATTCTGGTCTCGTGAGAAGTTGCAAAACTATCGAGTCACTGCAGAACAATCAGGCTCCAAAGGCTTAATACAAAGTTCAATTGTTAGCAAAACAAATGTTCCAATGAAAGTTCAATAGATTATACTTGTAATTTAGCTAGCAAAAGTAAAATTAGTGCAAGAGTTTAATTTTTGAATGATAATTGCTAACAAAAAAAGGGTAGAAGGGGTGGAAGAACAACCTAGGAAGCATTGTTATGCGAGGACCGGCAAGCTTCTCGATATATGGATCTTCATCTCTTCTGCCAACCAACTATATATCACCTATCTAATATCTCTCCCTCATCATGTGAGATTCCATTTATCTCGTTCATCATGCTTGGAAATCAGTCTGGTATTGTGGTCTCTCCGTATAGGATGTTTCTAGAGAGTCGCCTTTCTCTTAGAACGAAATTCTCAGATTTAATTGAATATCCAAAATCTACCAAAACTCGAAATTCAGACCGCCTCACAGCCTCGCCGCAGATGTAGTAGCTCTGGTGTCTTTGTTATTTTGACGAACATCACTTCGGATTCGAAATAGTGGAGGAAGTAGACGAACAAGCGGCAATCCGAGCTTTTGGTGGAAGTAGGAGTCGAGGGTTTCATTGGAACCAGAAGATTGATAGAGAAGGGGAAAGAAGAGTAAGGTGTTGGACGGAGAAGCGTTGGTTGAGTAAGGCTTTTATGGCTTGAAGACTATTTTTGAAATAAGAAAATAAAAGTGAAAAAGTGAAAGTCTAAATATGAAAAAGTAAAAGAACTGGGCTATAAACGAAATGCGGTAACGAAAAGTTGCTCGAATGGGAAATTTCCACTATTGTTTCGTGTGGGTTAGGCATGACCCGAAAGAAACACAACAAAAAACAAATTAAAATCTAAAGGAAGGAATACCAGAATAATCCATCAACTAATCCCTCTTAAGAAAGATTGGAAGATTTGATGGATTGTTATAACGAACAAGATGGTCCGTTTGAACCTTAGCCGAATAATGAGCAGCTCAATTTCCTTCCGGTAATTCTATTCATAGCCCCCAAATTGCTATTTACAACCTCCAAATTAAATCTTAAAAATAAATTTAATTCCGAATATCTAAAATACCCTTGAGCTACCTGCGAGGCTGCGATGCCGATGAGCCCTAAGAAACAAATAATTTTGAGGTAGCTTTGTGACTTGTGAGAATTGTAGTTATCCTAATGCCCATAAAAATATAGATCAAACTAGTGCCACCGAGTTCAAGTGATTTCATTTCGTTTTTTTTTTTTCATTCTTTTAATTTCTGGTATAATCAATGCCTTCTATATAGTTTAGATTCGAAAGGCTAGAACTGAGAAGAGAAAATGTCTCAAGGACCGGATGCAGAGAAGACTCCACATGATCCAAAGAGACCATGAATTCACTGATCTCTCTCATTAAAGAAGAGACATCCTGAAGCACAAAATAGAGATGTTATCCTTCTTGTTTATCTACTAAAATGGTTGATTAGTGATCGGAGAGGTGGGAAGATAAGATCTAACTCGCAGGTGGTTGGCGATCTCCCTCTTTATTAATATGAGGAACGGGGACGGTAAAAAGGAGATAGATGGCTTCATATATGGCCTACGATCACTTTAGAGGCTAGAAGGATATAACAGGGAAGATAAAATAATTTTATTTATTAAATAAAACATGTGGGTGTGTTTAGTAAAAAAGTGGTTGTGAATAGAATTTCTGTTTCCTTCCCTTTGAACAAATCCGAAGTGTTTTAGTTATTACAAAAGAGCTCATTTACCTCGAAGGCCTCATGTAATTTGTAGCTTAACCCTCAAATATAATATATTTGTAGGGTTAAGCATACGAAAAAAACCGTTACCACCAGACCGGGCCAGTGCCGAGCCCACACAGTAGCGGGCCGGGCCGGGCCGGGTCACGGGCCGGGTGGCCCGAACCAAATCCACCCCTACCCCACCATTTCCCCATCTCACTCTATCTCTCTCCTAATGAAGAATTCCAGTTACCGGAGAGAAGCTAAACCCGAATCCATAATAGGTGTTTTATATTTGGTAAACGGGAGTCCATGTTATTTTTCTTGTTCCACCACTGATCATGAATTTCAATGCAAGCAAGCCATAGAATGAGCTAGATGCACTTGTCAAACCATTTACCATTCATTGTCCTACAAGTATAGAATTCTTATATTACTGCACAGGCACTTGATTTAAAGTTTTTTACCAAGCGAGTTTTCTGGAGCTTTCTGGTGCGAAATTTTAAGTATGTAAACCACAAAATTCTGTGCAGAGTCAATTTTGCCTTGACATAATTTGGTATAGTTGCATTTACAAATCTAAGTTGGGAAGGTCAAAGGCAAATTGTCAAGACCTCACCCCTGGCAATACAGAAGGATGGCAGGTTTGGCTGCATCAGATTTCACCGGAAAAAACATAAAGGAAAGAAAACTCATGAGACTTCGCTGCTCGGATGGCAGAGATGGGCCTACTCATCCTTGTATGGAGCAAATAGGATAGAAGAGTTGTGTCCACCGAAGCCAAATGAGTTAGAAAGTGCCACTTTTACATCCAAACGTTCCTTCTTAGAGCCAGCCAGCAATCTTGTATCCTGGTGACACATTTTACCAAACTGTTAGTGCATTAACAATTATATAAGAGATAATATCACTAGTGCCAAGCTTCACAAGTTCATGGCTGCTAAGCTGATGCATGAGAGCTCTTGAAATGCAACACTCCAGTTATTATATGTATACTAGACAAAGATCATGTAGGACACTCAACAAGGGTTTTGGAAAGGGAGGCTTTGGAGGGATTAGAATGTTCTTTGATATATACTCGAGATTTCAGCATTTCATTATGTTTTAAGTTTGTTTCCAGTCATTCTAAATAAACTATGAAAGAATTTGAGGAACATGCAAACGTACCATTCCTTCCTCAGGGTTCTCAAGATTGGTATTTGGATGGATCCAGCCTGTCTGTATAGCCTGCATGAGAAGTCAATAATTCCAGGATAAATGAGTTTTCGTGAGTGGGCCTTACATAAAAGAAAGTAACTATTTTTGTTTGTTGGTCATTACCATAATGGTTGCGATGGCTTCAACAGCACCAGCAGCTCCCAGGAGATGTCCGATCATCGATTTTGTAGAATTAATTTTAAGCTAAAAAACACCAGGCATCAATATAAGAACCCCATAACATGGTTGCAAAGGCTACACAGAAGGCACTGAGAAGTACCTCACTATTCTGTCCAAAACAACGAGTTATGGCCTGATATTCTTTCAGATCACCAGCCGGGGTTGATGTGGCGTGAGCATTTATATAGTTCACGTCTTCTCTATTAACCCCAGATTGAGCTAAAGCCTTCTCAATGCATAGAACAGTTCCAGCTCCTGATTTTAGTACAATTATAGGCATGAGTAATATACTTTGCTTAACTGGAACTGTTTAGCCTTCAATTCAATTCCATCTTATAAAGATCAAAGAAATAAATCCATTGTTTGACAGCCTATCAGTTGATGGAGCAAAATCTAAATCATTAATTTCAGTAGATGAATAAATAGGAAGGAAATGATTTGATGGTGCTTACAGATTTTTTAAATCGGTCATTAGACTTGTAATTAAAATTCTTAATTTCTTCGATATGTGACCAACTTTTTTATCCGCTGCCTACTTTCAGTATTGGTTTCATGGATTTAAAAGTTACTCCTTCCAAGAGTCCATCCATGTTTAAAAATTATGTTTTTACTATTGGGGACAAAATTGGTTAACTTGACTGTTTGCCACAAAACTATGCAAACATTGTATTAATTTGTTTCAATAAATATAAATGCTTTTGATATAGTAATTCATTATAGACTAAAAATACATAATTGTAAATAATGTTGGTCAAGGATGAACACTTAAGACCGTAAAAGTCAAAAGAGAAACTGAAGGACTATATGATATAGGTTCAAAATCATATAAGGAACTAAAGGTAGTCATCATACTTATTTGTTTTCATATTCTTGTATTTGATACACAAATATAAGATGCCATCTGAAAACTGAAGCTCTTACCATCAGGATGTGGCTCGGTCATGTGATAAGCATCACATGTGAAGCTTCCGCCTAAAAACTCTGCATATATTTTGGCCCCTCTTTTCTATCAAATTATTTAACAAAAATGTGAGGGAAAATGAGAGAGAGGATTCATTAAAATAATACTAAAGCCTGAATTGTGGGGTGTTGAGAAAAGCATTATTATTTTTATGATGTAGAACCTTTGCATGTTCTAATTCTTCTAACAGCAACACACCAGACCCTTCTCCCATGACAAATCCATCTCGCCCCTGGTCCATCATGAAATCAAGATATACTTTCACCAGATAGCCAATAAAATACTATATTACGGAGTATAAGTAACTCATCACTATTAAGTTTTTTAATGTTGGAACGTTTGAAAAATTGGATTAATGGTGGTCAAAGAAGTTGAATGTCACACACTCACGCCAAGACACTCCGGGCTTGTTTGGTTCGGAGATTTGGGGGGGGGGGGGGGGGGGGGGGGATTCGATATTTATTTTTTAAGTTACTTCTACATTAAGATGAGAGAAAATAAAGTGACGATAAAAAGCTATAGAGATATACCTGATCTAACTAATCATGCAATTAATCTAAAACTAACAAGGAGAATTATGAATAAAATAAAAACCAACCTTCCCTTCCTACTCACTCTGAAATCTTATTACCAAACAATCCCTTAGGTTTTGATTAGATGGAGTCATGGAGGACATTGCATGGGTTTAATAGGGAAGATTTTGGCCTTTAGGGGTGGATTAGTTTATATTTTGATAAACAGAATCTGATGTGGATACACTCTGGGGTCGTGCCTATCAGCGGAGCAAGTTGGGCCTAAGAAACATAGCCACTCAGCCAGTTCAAGACTTCAAGTGAGATCCAAGCAGGACAGGAGAACGAAATTGGCTAAACTTGAGCATCAAGATCCTTGTTATTATTATTTATTTATTAGTTTCCTAATCAGATTATTGCCGTAATTTCCTCTAGCAGTTATTATCAGTTTCTCATTATCATTATGTTACTATTAGGATTAGGGCTATTATGAATTATGCTTATGATAGCTATATAAGGGACCCTTATATTTATTATGCATTTTTAAAGTACTTTCTTGGGGGGGGTTGACTAGATCAGGCACCTGATTAATTCCAATAAACCCTTGTTATTTTCATTTCTTTCTGTGTTCGTAATAAATCCGACCATTGAACTCTCCGTGCTATAGTTTTCTTCTGTTCTACGTTCTCAACCTTGGACGAAATCTTGCTTGCGCGCTCTTAAAAGATTCTTTCATCACTCAGTAGGAGAGGTTGAAGTATTCTTTCATCGCTAATTATGGTATTTCTTTAATTTTTTTAAAATCCTAATGTATATCAGTATATAGACCTAGCCCTACCAAAGGCATCCAGTCTCAACACCCAGAAACCGACTCCCAACCTGAACGTTAGGTACTTAGGTTAGGCTTTGAAGTCAAAGATGGTAGGGAAAGGAGAAAAGCTACAAAGGAAAATGTCTTTTATGTTTGGTTTTACCTTAGAAGATGCAAAGGAAAATCATATTTTTGATTATTCTTTTTTTAGTTTCTCATATGTGTTTGTATTTGTTAGATTTCATATGTATGATAGGAATGTTAAAAATAAAATGAGTCCGAAGTCCGAACAAATATCTGAAACTGATACATGAGTTTGAAGCAATGCATCTCAGCACACGCCCACCTTTTCTTTCACTCTGAACTCTCTATTTCCCTCCCTATTTTTTCATTTCCATTTTCCGTGTTAGACCCTTAATTTAAGAGTGTGATCATATCAAGATTCCCGATAACATAGAAAGCCATGTTTATTAGCCAATATGACAAGAATGCTGAGTATGATGTACAGCAGTACAATCAATGTAAACACCGACATAAGTGGTGAGATAAATACAATACCATATCCCACGGACGTGAAGCCCTTGTTGGATCATTGTTCCTTGTTGAGAGAGCTCGGCATGCCACAAACCCTCCAAGACCTATAAGTGATACAGAACTTTGATTTTTTTACACTACATAATTATAAATTCCTTCCCAAAATGTAACTATATAACCCTACCTATAGGAATAATTGCTGAATCTGAGCCACCGCAAAGCATTAAATCCTGCCATTTAGTGAGACATTTTTCTGAGTTGTTCACTAGATAAGAAACTGAAAAAGTTAACAACATTATATTTTCTTAAAAAATATGTTTTGGCTGGTAAACATACTGATTCGCCTCTTATAATATGATTTGCAGCATTAAGTATGCAGAAGTTGCTTGTTGCGCATGCCGTGGAGATTGAGTAGTTTGGGCCCATCCAACCCTGCAGTTTACAAGTTAGAAAAGTAGAAATTGAATAGTTTGGGCCCATCAATCTTCTTCATTACTCACCAAATCCATAGCAAGAATAGCAGATCCCATATTTGTTGTAGCAAAAGGTACGCAAAACGGATTCATTTTCTTGTAAGAAACTTGCAGTGCCTCTATAGCATCATTAAAAACCTATTAGAAAAAAGGATACAAAATTACAAACAGGGAGGAAACTGTGAAAGAGATTGTGCTGCAAGGTTGCTTATATGTGCAAAGGCTTGAAGATCCATCTAAAAGGTTAATTTTATAAGATGAGTTGTTCAAGACCTTCTACGTAAGTTTATATCTTTACAATTGCTCGGGCTTAAAATGCCCCCGCAAGATGGTCGCCCGTTAGAGCGGACCAAACTTCGAATCCAACTTGTGAGCTATATATTAGAATCTTAGCAGGACCGCTTGCTCGTTTGACTTTAATGTACTTTAACAGCATGTGTCTAACATAGAGAAAATGCTAGAGTTACCTTCATACCCCCAAGGGCAGACCCAATTAAAACTCCACATTTAGTTTTATCTAACTCTTTTATGACATCCTCTGTTATTCCACCATCAGCCAAAGCCTTTTTTCCAGCAGTGAGCATGTAAAGCATAAACTTATCTGCTCTCTTGGACAATTTAGGAGAGACCCACCCGTCAGTTGAGAAGCTTTTTATTTCCCCAGCAATTCTCTATCAGGTAAAAGATCAAGATCACCATCTAGAATTATGTTTAGAGTACACAAAAGAACATAAAGATAAATTTTGCTTACTGTGGGAAAATCAGAACAGTCGAAAGCCTCAATCTCACTGATGCCGCTAACACCCTGAAGGAGATTATTGTAAAACTCATCCACATCATGACCCACGGGAGATACTACCCCAACTCCAGTCACAACTACTCTCCTTTTACCTGTAATGACTTTTGTCTTTGCTAGTGCTTCCTTTTCAGGTTGCACAGCCACAGCCATGGTTTTACCTATATTAACCATAACCATTACAGAAATTAATGCAAATAAGAGTAAAATGTGAGTCATATGCAGAAAGAGGAGAACCGTTGTTTGTGCTAAAAAAACTGACTCATTGGGTCCAAACAAAAGAATAAAATTAGTTAATAATTCTTTTTTAGGGGTAATGAGTCAATACTTTCTAGGAATAACATAACCAAATCTATTTAAAGAAATGTGTTAGTTATACTTTCCACCTATTACGAAACTTTTCCTAAAACTAAATAAATCCAAAGCTCATTAGTAACATTGTGGTAACTACAAACTATAAGCATTTCTCAAAACCGATAAGAAAAGAAAACCATAATAAAAAATTATGTGGACTCAGCCACCCGAACATGCCAATATTGCAACTTCTCCTTTGTACCATTACAATATAATAAGTTTCTTAACATCCCATGTCCCTCTTAAAAGATATAAGCTTAATAATAATGAGAATGGTTTGGATATTTCTCCAGATCCAGGCAACAGTGGAAAAGAAGGATCTCCAGGAATTCAATCACAACAAAATAAAACCATAATCAAGTAAAGATAGTAATAAACCAATAATAACCAGGGTCTGGATTTATCCAGATTGCATGATACCCATGTTTTTTCACAAAATAACAGCATGAGTTTAGAAACAGTAAATCGATTGTGAGAACACACACAAAATGCAAAAGCCTGTACACAACTCTTTGAATATATAAAGTTTACATACAAAAAGGAATGAAAACGTACAATGCAGCATTCATACTTTAGCAGATAAATATGTATGTACACACACATATGGATATTTTTGCGGTTATCAGAAAGATGGATGAGGAAGAGAAACAGACAGGCTAGACGTACTCATCCGCTTCGGTTTGCGGTTTGCGGGCGGTGGATTGGACCCGAAAATAGATAAAGCGTTGTCACCGAAGAAAGGCAGCCCTTTTGAGTTGTAGTACTCCTGACAGGGTACGCAGGAGCTCATCAACCCGTGAATTCCAGATCCATAGAAAGAAGACACCAACCCGCCGCCAAGGTTGCCGCTCCAGGCGGACACTGTCCGCTTCCTCCTCAGCCACCTCCGAGACTGAAACACCGACGGCGACTTCCCGAGGTGGTCCTTTTCACAGGAGGCTGACATGCAAGCTGCCACTAGCCATGTACAGAGCGGAGAGGCCACTGAAGAAGCCACCATTGCTGAAAAACACAGAAATGAGACTAGGAATCACCGAATGGTTTTTTTACAATTAGATGCGATTGAAAACGACCCAGATTAGAAATTCGAAATCTTGGAGGGGGTTTTGGACGAAATGTAATGGATTAAGCTTTTCTTTTAATAAGTTGGATTAGAAGAAATCTGGGACATGGTTGTTGATCGAGTGATTCTGTCTAGGGTGAGACATTCATAGGAGGAAAGAATGCCAGTGTAGGTTCATTCTTCATTAGCATTACAAATATATACTCCGTACATCAAAGCTGGTCAGCGAAAGCTACAGTACGTGCAAAAAATTCAGACTTCTTTTTTGATGGTTCATATGCCAAAACATTACTAAGTAGTGATATGAATTCCCTCCATTAAAACTTTGACAAGTTTGACTTGCACGGGAATTAATAAAATAAAAATTGTGTGGTTGAAACTTGTGTAGAGGAAAGAGAATTAACTAGAATCACAAATTCTTTACTTAAAAAGAAAAATGACAAAGTTAATGGAACATCAAAAAAAAAGTTGGTAAAATTTGAAGGGACAAATTGAAAATATAATATCACCTCTCACGGTTTTTCTAAAATAATTTAATCTTTGATCGTTTAGTACTTTAGTGATTTAGTGATCAGCCGTTTCAGAAATCTATTTTTTCTTTGAGAATTATTTAAAAAATCACATTTCATCTATTTTATCAAACAGTTTCATATACAATAGTATTTTTTTGCTTTTTCTACCTAAAAATATCTTTTTGAAAAAATCTATTGGTACACACTCTTACACACTCATGTCTGTGAAGACTTTTTTTTATATTTGTTCCGGATAAAACGTATTTGACAAATATGTTTTGTTTGAGATAGACATAAAAAACGTCTTACAAACATGGGTGTGTAGGAGTGCGTATTCTTTCTTTTTATCAACTCAAAACTTTATTCTCCCTCTTTATACGGAGTACGAGCTACTTCTTTGTTCCTAGAAATATATTTTTTCTTTTTCTCCATTTTTATAAAAGACTGTATTTCTTCCGCACTCGTTATTTTATTTTATTATTTACGTAGCATTTTTTCAAATTTCTTATCATTTTATTCTCCTTTTTTCTTTCCTTTTCACCATTTTGGAAATTAGTAAATTACTGATTTTTCTTTTTCCCTTTTCACCCATCTTTTTCGCTAAGTTTTTATCATTTATAATTATACGATAGTATGTTATTATGAGCTTGGCTGGCAACCACTACTTTCAATTTATCAATTTTTTATTAAATATGTAAATCTTTATTTCGCGCTCCAAATTGTTACGGAGTAATAACTATAATAAGCAAGATTATAGTTATTTTTTTCTAAATTGACCGAAGTTAATATAAATGAACATTTTAACTATTTTAATTTGTTTTATTAATAAAATATATTTTACCTATAATTCTTCATAATTCTTCATACTCAATCAATTTGGCCACTTAACCGAACATTATATCAATTTCAGAAAATTCATTTGATTCGTTCAATTCAATGTTATCAAACGAATACTACTTTTGTGAATCAAATAAATTAGAAATAATATAATGACAATAATATGATATATGAGATCTTGTTGCACACATATTATCCTCCGTATCTCATTAATTGCAACATTATAATATATGCACTATTCATGTACTTTGCTTTGACTACATTTTATTTATTAATGTATGTGAATTATTATTTTTTTGAAAAATGTTGTTAAATTCGTCACGTGAAATATTGATTGTTCCAACTAAAAAGAGACAGAGACTGTATTATACTAGAGCTGGGTTCGGTTCGGTTACCGAACCAAAATGGGAAATATCCAAACCAAACCGATCTTTCAGTTCCTTATATTTTATAAACCGAAACTAAACCAAACTTTGTTGGGACCCAATTTTTCAGAAACCAAATTCTGAGTTCAATTTTTCGGTTTTTCTGAAAAAAACCAAATCAACATTCGAAATTTATATATACAATAGTTAATACTAGTCCTAAGACTTTCCTAGCTCCATGCTCCATAGCTACGAAGGGGTGATTATATAGGCTCGTATGAGGAGTAACTCCTCTCTTCCATCCGGTGTGGGACGAATTACATACGGAAGAAAAATTAAATGAAAAGTTTGGGGCGGAAGAAGGGGCGCCTTACCGGTTGCCGCTAAGCTACTACTAATAGTTGTTACATATGGATGCCAAATCAATTACATACTTTATCGTTATACAAATTAAATAAAATAATTAAAAACTATTATGAAATAAAAAATCGGTTCGGTTCGGTTTGAACCGATTTTCAATCTCAAAGAACCGGTTCCGAACCGATTTTTATTCGGTCCCAACTTTCGGGTACCATTCAAGTCGGTTCGGTTTCGGGTCGGTTTTTTCGGTTCGGTTTTCGGTTAAAAATTCCAGTCCTACATAATACTACATCTAAAATAGGGAAAGTGGTCGGTTAACCAAGCATTCCAGTCCAGCTGGTTGTGAGGTTACCGTGCCTAGTGAGAGGTCTCGAGTTCGAAATTCACTAGGCACATAAGGGTTTGAAACTCAATGGAATGAGTTTCAGCCCTGATTACTACAGGCCTGGCCCCCGGCCCCCTCCCCCAAATGCCCCCTGGAGTAAAAAAAGGAAAGTGGTCGGTTAATAATGGATGGACTGAAATGCCCTAAAAAATCAACCCCTCTACTCTTGATTGCATTTCTGTTGCGCTATTCATCCCTGTCTACGCTCTCAACGGACAATAGAAGTCGCCAATGTCGTCGATGCCGCCCGTCCGGCGGCACACCATTATAATTGTAATTAGGAAAAATCACACTTCTGGTCCTTCAGTTAGTCACTATATCGAAATGTTAGACCCGTATTTTAAGATTGTAAATGTCACCTCTTACTTGACTGATGTGTTGTAAATGTCACCGCTGGTGAATTTATTGGTGGTCCAAAATCAGAGATGGATTATAAACGGCAGGGATGACATTTAACAACATATCTGTCAATTTCGGGGGTGACATTTACGATCTCATGAACACAGATCAGACATTTCTATATGGACATATGGCGACTAATTGAGGGGCCAAAAGTGTGATTTTCCCTTATAATTATTATGCTAATAAAATTATTATGCTAATAATTATGATCAGTATTAATATTAACATTGCGGCATATATATATAGGAAAAAGTTCACGTAAGGTAGGTCTAAAAGTTATAATTTTAGGTCTCTTTCATTTGAAGTGCTTCCGGATCGAACTTTTTGATGAAACTTTGTGAGCATGTGTGATTGTGTTCCGTGAAGTGTGGATTATGTATACTAAATTTCAGATTAAAATTTAATTGGGAACTCAGTTAAATAAATTTTTGAAAATTGGCCGGTTTATATATATAAAAACTGCAGTTTTTTTCAATAATTTATTTAACAAACTTTCCGATTGAATTTAATTCTGAAATTTGGTGGACATAATTTCGACCCAGAAGTACCTCGAATGAAAGAAGCCTAAAAGTTATAAGTTTTAGGCCTACCTTACATGAACATTACTCTCTCTCTCTCTCTCTCTCTCTCTCTCTCTCTCTCTCTCTCTCTCTCTCTCTATCTATATATATATATATGTGTGTGTGTGTGTGTGTGTGTGTATTACATATATAGGAGGTCGTCCCTTTGTGTCTCGAACTGTACAATCGGCCCCGAAAGTTGTATTTTTCGGACTGTTTTAATTATATTTTATTTTATCGGGTCAAATAAAATATATTATGTGTTTCCCATCATTATGGACTCTTAGAATGAATATACATTTCTCATCTTTAATTTAGAAGTCTCTGAAATCTGTTTCAGGCTGTTATCTCATAAATTACCAATACTGGTAATTGGGCCTCGTTTGACCAACGGGTCAACCCTATGCCCTTCCTATGGCCCAACTAAAATATCCACCACCATATAGATATTATCTAGACCAATATGAATATAATATGTGGTCCTGGGATTATCGGGCGGTCCCCGCTTCCGATGCGGGCCCCGCATGCAATTCACTATTCACGCAAAAATAACAACAAAAATTTTTACAACCTTGTAAATTCATAAATCGTTATTCCAGGTTCATTACATGATTTACTAAAAGTAAATATACTTGGGGACGGTGTTACAAGTTCACCCCCCCCCCCCCCCCCTTATTTGGGATTTCGTCCCCAAAATCAATGTGTCAAATCGAAAAGAAACGGGTATTGCTCCCTCATTGAGACCTCGGTCTCCCATGTTTCTTCTTCGACTCGATCACTCCTCCAAAGTACCTTAACCATAAGAATTTTCTTTTTCCTAAGTTTCTTCACTTGTTGACCAACAATCTTCAACGGTTCCACCGCATATTGCAAGTCCTCGTGGATCTCCACCGGTGGTTTCTCAAGAATATGAGACGGATCTCGTACATACTTCTTGAGCATGGATACATGGAATACGTCATGTATCTTATCAAGTTCAGGTGTCAACTTGAGCCGATAAGCCACGGCTTCAATCCTTTCAAGGATCTCAAACAGACCAATGTACCGGGGGTTAAGCTTACCCCTCGACATGAACCGAATGATTCCCTTCCAAGGAGAAATCCTTAGAAATACCTCGTCACCGACCGCAAATTCCAACGGCCTGCGCCGTTTATCGGCATAGCTCTTCTGCCGATCTTGAGCAGCCTTAAGCCTATCCCGAATGACCTTCACCTTAGCCTTGGTAATTTCAACAAGTTATATGCCCTCGAGTTTGGCCTCGCCAACCTCGTCCCAGCACGATGATGTCCTGCATTTCCTCCCAGACAATGCCTCGTATGGAGGCATGCCAATACTCGCCTGATAACTGTTGTTATAGGCAAACTCAACCGGAGCCAAATGATTGTCCCAACTTCCTTGGAACTCCAGAGCACATGCCCTAAGCATATCCTCCAAAATCCGTATCACCCGCTCGGAGTGTTCATCCATATGTGGGTGAAAAGTTGTGCTAAACTTCAGTTTAGTACCCAAAGATGCTTGAAACATTGGCCAAAATCGGATGTGAATTGTGGATCCCTGTCCGAGACAATGGATATTGGGACTCCATGTAATCTCACAATCTCCTCTGTGTATAGCTTGGCCAATCTTTCAAGAGGATAAGTAATGTTGATAGGCAAAAAGTGTGCACTCTTGGTGAGCCTGTCAACCACTACCCATACAGCATCATAGTTGTTCACAGTTCGTGGTAGCCCCACCACGAAGTCCATGGTTACATGCTCCCACTTCCATTCGGGAATAATAAGTGGTTGCAAAAGTCCCGCCGGGTGCTGGTGCTCCGCCTTAACTTGTTGGCAAG